TACTAGAAACTGTTACAACTTAGGCTCCACTGGCATAGCTTTTAAGAATAGTGGTGAGAAGGAAAGAGGAATTACCTTGAATTCTCAACTCCTGAATATGGAGTCCTTCTACTAACTGGCTCAGCCCTTGACTCAGTGTTGAAATCTATCTTCCACTTACTACTACTTAAAACCCCCAGAGGTCTGGTTAGCTTGTTAGCCAAACACTTTGGTTCTCTTCTTAATCCAATCAAAAGGGTCTAAACCTCATAAAGAGATCTCAAACTCTTGTTTACATATACATAAAACTCCACCCTTCTGTTGATTGATTCACCAGAGACTCTCAGTCTTTCTATGATTACATTATTTGGGGGTGGGGTTGGAATCCATTTCTTTATATAAAAAGTAGATTTAGCTACACAAGCACCAAATTCTGTGGTTGACCAACAATTTTATTTTACCAGTACATATCACCAAGCCTCATGATGTACTCATATGTTTAGAATACACAGGCTAGCCTAGCTAAATTTATCACCATGACATTCAGTGAACTTTAGCATAATCAACCAATTATCAATCAATTACCATAACAAACCAATTACCATAATCAATCAGGGAATATTTAAATTCTGACTCTGCCAGGTACTATGCTAAGTGCTAGGGATACAAAGATAAAACAAAAAACATTCCCTACCCTCAAGGAACTTACTTTCTCTTGAGGGAAGACAACATTAAAGCAGTATATATAAGATAAATTCAGAGTAGAAGGAAGGTAACTTTAGAGAAGAAAACACTAGCAGGTGTGGAATGTAGAAAGGGTTATGTGGAGGTAGTGCTTGAGTGGAATCTTAAAAGAAGTCAGGGATTCTAAGAGTCCAAAGTAGGAGGGAGTGCATTCCAGGGGAACTGCTAGAGCAAAGGCATGGAGATGGGAAATATAATGTGTCATGTGTGAGTAGCAGCAAATAGCCCAGCATGACTGGTCCATGGCTTGTAAATGTATTAAAAAACTGCAAAGATAGAAAGGGGCCAGGTTGTAAAGAAATGCCAAATAGAGGATTTGATGTTTGATCCTAGAGGTAACATCAAGTTATTGGAGTTTATTGATTAGGACTATGACATAGTCACACCTGAACTTTAGGAAAAATCACTTTGGCAACAGCGTGGAGGATGGAGTGGAGTGAAGAGAGACTTGAGGTAGGGCAATTAGCAAGCTATTGCAATTGTCCAAGAGAGAGAATATGAGTGCCTGAATTGGGGTGGTGACTGTGTGAGTGGAAAGAAGGGGGCATATATAAGAGATGTAGAGAAATGACAAGATTCTGCAATTTGCAATTGATTTGGATAAATGGAGTAAATGAGAGCAAGGTGGCAAACCTGTATAGTGGAAGAATTATGGTGCCCTTCAAAGTAATAAAGAAGTTCAGAAGATGGGAGCTTTTGGGGTAGGTACGGGAGTAAGTACTGCTTTGGACATATTGAGTATGAGATGTTCAATAAGCAGCTGACATGTGGAACTACAGAAAGATTAGGGCTGGATAAATAGATCTGACAATCATATAAGTAGAGATGATGCTTGAACTTATGGAAGCTGGTCAGATCACCAAGTGAGAGATTGTAGTTGGAAAGCAGAAAGCCTAGGGCAGAGTCTTGGGGGACACCCACATTTAGTGGGCATGACATGGATGAAGACCCAACACAGTAGACTAAGAAGGAATGGCCATACAGATAAGAAGAAAATAATGAGGGAAGAGAGTCATAAAAGCCCTGAAAGAAGAAAATTTCCTTGAGGAGGATGTTGGTGTTCAACAGTGTCAAATGCTACAGAGAGATGGAGGAGGAAGATTTGAGAAGGGGCTAATAGATTTGGCAATGAAGAGATCATTGGTACCTTTGGAGATAGCAGTGGCAGGCAAACGGTGAGGTCAGAAGCCAAACCGCATAGGGTTTAGTAAGAGGAGAGGAAATAAAGCCATAGAGTATAAATGATAGATGACTTTTTCAAGGAGTTTAGTTAAGAAAGTGAGGAGAGATTGGAAATCTATCTGCTACTATCTTCTACTAAGTCACAAAAAAGGTTATGATATAGATTGGAAGAGAGAGTGTCTACATTGATAAAAATATAGATCATTGAAATATTAAATGTATGGTATAGCATGTGTTTCAGACCATTATTATGTAGTTATCTGAAGATATTAGTTTACTATCTGATGTTTGCTATAGGCTTACTAATGTACATAAGGGTATTTTTTCAGCTTAAATATTAAAATTCATAGCAAGAAGGGCACTATTAATAATAATAAATACTGATTAATTTTTAGCCAGTTCTAAGAATCTAAAATGTTAGAGTTGAAAGGAAGGAACCTCAAGAGATTGTGTTATATAACTTCCTGCCTTCAGCCAGGCAAATCCTAATACCATAGGATTTTAGAGCTAAATGAGATTAACCAATCGATCAACAAGCATTTATTAAATACCCACAAAATGCCAGGCAACTTGCTAGGCACTGGAGATACAAAGACAAAAGTGATATAATCCTTGCTTTCAAGGAACTTACATCCTTTCATGGGAAACAACATGTCATATATAAGTATACACAGAATATAGTAAGTAAATATAAGGTAATTTCAAAAGGAGGCAGAGGATCATAAAAGGTCAAATGTAGGAGGTAGTGTTTGAGTTGGGGAAGTTAGGATTTTAAAAAGAAATGAGGGAATGCATTACAGAAATGGAGGATAGCATGGGGACAGGAAATAAATTGTCTGGCTGCAGAATTTTGAGGACAGTATGGCTGGATTGTAGAGTACATGAAGGACAATAACATAATTACTCCAAAAATGTAGGTGGGAGAGAAGTTTAGAAGAGAAATGCCTAACTGTAGGGTAGCCTTGATTCTGTAGGTAACAGGAAGCCTCTGAAATTTATTGAGTAGCGGAATGGCAGACTTCTGTTTTAGGAATATCACTTTGACATCTGTGTGGAGAATGGGTTGGAGAAGGAAAAGACTTGAGGTATGGCAGGCTAGTAGGCTATTATAATAATGCAAACAAGAGGTGATGAGGAACTGACCTAGGGTGATGGTTAAGTAGAGAGAAGAGCATAGGTGAGAAATGTCGTGAGGTCAAACTGACACGATTTAGCAACTGATTGGATATGTAGGGTGAGAGAGGGAGGAAATTCTGCAATTGTGAAGCAGAACAAGGCGAAGAACAGCGGTGCTCTCCATAGAAATGGAGAAGTTTGGAAGTAGAAGATAGTGAGCTACTTTGGACATGTTGGGTTTGAAACACTTATAGGACATTTGGTTTAAAAGCAATATGAGGCTGGGGCTCAGGGATGGGGAGAGAGAGAGAGAGAGAGAGAGAGAGAGAGAGAGAGAGAGAGAGA